ACTACACCAGAAACAAAACTTAAGACAGGTTATATTTTATAACATCAGAAAGATCTGGTGTTTTCAAGAACTTTTTTATAAAAGGAAAAACAATGTAGTGCTTCTCATTTGTTCCCTTCTATATAAAGATTTGTTTTTTAATGTTTTTCTTTAAAAAACTATTAATTCACTTCCTCATTATAGGGTTATTTGTAATAAAGCTAAATATGTATTCCTTTTCCTTTATTTGGTGGGCCTTGCCCTGTGTATCATATTTATATATAGCACACCCTCAATATCTTTGTGTTCTCTGTGATGTATAACCAGATAGTGCATTCTCCCAGCTCTTTTCTCCGTCACAAGGAAAGCTCCTTTACAGCAGTCACTTGGCCATCCTCCCGTTAGTGTCTTGGACCTCTGCTCCAGCACTCACTGTCTTGCTTTACCCTTGCCATCCACAGGTGCTAACTTGTTCCCCCTGGAATTTGGGGTTTAACCAGAATCCTATGATAGACTGTTCATACTCCGTCTCTGCTCTCCCTCAAATCTCCTCTGCTGCTTGCATGACTGAAGGTGTCTGTGATTGCTTTGGGTATTACTGATTTTGTTTTTAGTACTCCTTCCTTTTATTTCAAACAATCTCTTATGCGAGCAATGTTGATTTATTAACGATAGTACCATACAGCATAAAACATTAGAGGAAAGAAGTTGGAAAATAGGTCTTCTTGTCTGTGCTCTGTCCCCCAGTCCCCGTTCCCCCCCGGCCCCCGTTTCTGGATAGCCTTAATCTCACCCTGTTTTAGACAGGTATCTAAGCTCCAGAATGCCTATTTGCATGATGTTTCCAAGCTTAGTTTAGAACTCTTAATATTTCTCCTAAAAGCCTACTTCCTGCATCTCACCCCCACATTCCCCCCATTCACTGATTGGTAGTTGCCTTCCCCAGTTGTTCAGACTCAATTTGGAGGCGTCTTCGAGCCTCCTCTCCTTTCACACTTTGCATCCAACCCAATTAGCTTTGCAAACCTCCACTTCCTCCCTTGATCAAGGTTCATCTGCTTGTACTCTCACTCTCTCACAGCTCGGTTCAGTGTGGCAGCCATAATACTCTTTTGAAAACACAAGTGAACTTGGTTGCCCCTTTGAACAAAGCCCCTCAATGGCTTCCTGTTGTTCTGTAATGAAATTTGTATTCTTACCATTGCCCATAGGACCAGACATCGTCTGGTTCCTGCTAATTCTTTCTGACGGTATCTCCTGTCATTTTCCTACTTGCATGCTCAGCTCTAGCTGGCTCTAGCTTTACTGGCCACTTTGCTTTTCTTCAAAAGTAACAAACTTTCCTTAGGATTATCATTATCAGCGTTTCTGTTTGAAATACTCACACTCCAAGATATGTCCTCAACCCCTACCTAATGTATCATGTCTGTGGAGAGACCTTGGCCATTCTGATATCTAATTCCTCTCTACCATTTCACACCCCAAATACTCTTCTCTCCTTTGCCCCTCACCTTGCTTTAGTTATTTTACTGCTCCCAAATGTCTAAGATTTCCTTATTTCTGTATTGTGTATTAGCAGTATTCTGCCCTACCTCTCCCTAGAATGGAAATTCAACAAGTACACAGAATATTCTGACTCATCTGCTGTGAGACATAGTAACACTCAAAATTTAAATGACTGAGGATGCAAATAAATTTAACCTTAAGGTGGATCATTTCACCTCCCTGTATTTTGAAGCCATATCTACAAAATGAAGGGTTTACCCAAAGTCCATGAGTAATCACTTCAACTTCAGATGATCATTCCCGGATAGGCACAAGTTCAAGGCATTTAACTTTTCAAATGATTTTTGAAGACACATTTTTCAGGACAGTACTTGACAGCTGCAACACTTTTAGGAATTATGTGATTTCTGTTGAGTTCTCCCATTGCACTTCCTTATTTCACCTTTACCTGTTGTATTTTCTAAAGTTATTACCCATTGTCATCCTCATTGTATTATTTAAATTTCTATTATTATTTCTGTGCATATAAGTGTTTGTGCTGCATGTATGTCTGTGTGTATGCCTAATGCCCAGGGAGGCTAGAAAAAGGGCATCCAATCTTCACCAACTAGAGTTACAGATTGTTGTGAGCCACCATGTGGGAGCTAGGAATCAAACTGAGGCCCTTTGGAAGAATAGCCAATGCTCTTAACTTCTGAGGTATCTCTCTAGCTCCTCTTTGCATTATGGAATTAAATTGCCTCTCTGCAGTAATAGGAATATCTTTTTCTGATGATCCCTCACTTGACCATTTATTGGATATAAGCAAATGTGATTTGAAGCATGTTTCTTAGCCACTTCATTCTTGTATTGTACCTTTGTAGAGATTCCCTCCCCGCCCTCATTCTGGATACATACAATCATGGTTAATGTACATGTTAATTGGTTTGATGGATTTTTAATCATGGGGAAGACAACAAAACTAGACATAAAAATTAGTGTCTCATTATACTACAGTTTTTCAAACCAGGGCACACACCTCTGATCTTAGTACTTGGGAAGTTTAGGCAGCTCACCTATGTACTATGAAATGAGGTGGCAGAGGATTGATTGCCACAAGTTCAAGGCTAGCTTAGGCTCCAGAGTGAAAACTTGTCTAAAAGAGCGGAGCCAGAGGTTGAGGGAGAATGAATGTGTGTTAATTCAAGGGTGTGCCATGTTAAAAGACATTGTTTCAGAACAGAAAAAAATAAAAAGGTTTTCTGAGATGAATAGGCTCTTAAACTGTAGGACAATGCCTAGAATTTTCCCTTTCCAAGTCTTCAGTGTCTATCAGCTTAGGGGTTGGGGGCAAGGAGGATGATGTAAATAACTTCCATACTTCAGGGCTATTCAGAAACTTCACACTGATATAAAAACTCCTTTAAAGGGGTTATAGTCTCCATGGTTTATTTCACCACAGAGTATCTTTTTTAAGCTTTATTTTTATATGTCTGGGTGAGTATGTGCCACATGTGTGTAGGAGACCAGAAGAGGGTGTCAGATCCTTTGGAACTGAAGTTATAGGCATTTATGACCACCCACTTCCCAAGCGTGGGTGCTAAGAACTGAAATCAACAAGTGCCCTTGACTGCTGAGCCATCTCTCCAAACTTGCACGTGAGACAGCAGTGTTCCATGAGACATATTTTTGAACATTTATTAGGTACAAGATATTTATATATCATTTTTTATGAAATGTACATTTGTTCCTTAATATTTTAAGAAAATCTTCATTTAAACAAATATGTTGTGGGATTGGAGATACAGCTCAAAAATGGCTAAGAACACTTGCTTCTCTTGCTGAGGACCTCGATTAAGTTCCCAGTACCTACATTACAGCCTACAGTCCAGTTCTCAGAGATCCGTGCCATCTTCTGCCCTGTGTAATAACCACGCATGCAGATGACACACAGACATGCATGCAGGAAAAACACAATGCACATACATATGTTGGGCATGATGGTGTACACCTTTAATCCCAGACTTTGGAAGACAGAAGCAGGCAGATCTCTGAGTTCAAGGCCAGCCTTGTCAATAGAGTGAGTTCCAGGACACTCAGGGCTACACAGAGATACTCTGTCTGGAAACAACAACAAAACTGGTTAAAACAACAATCAGAATGCTAGCAATAAGTAAAAGACAATAAGGAGTATTGAGTGCAAAGTTCAAGACTACCAGAGGTAAAAGTTTCCAGTGGAAGGCAGGGGTCTCTCCAGCAGCAGAAGGACTTTGCAGGCAGTGGACTTCAAGATAGTAACAAATAGTGTTACTGCTGTATGGCTACTTGAGATTAGTGGACAGAAATGCTTTTAGACAAAGGCTTGGCAAACCCTACCCAAGAAGGCAGTGGGAAAACAAGGGACTCCAAAGGGAGAAGTCTTGAGTAGTTCTAGGCAAAGTTAGTAATGATAAAATAATATTTTCGTGAAAATTACTCTGAATACTTCAAAATTAGGTAGTTGTGGGAGGAGTGTTGTCTTGTGAAGAGGATGTGGTTGGTGCTGAATATTTTCAACTATTTTGAGTTTTTGTTTTTTCGAGATAGGGTTTCACTGTATAACAGTCCTGGCTGTCCTGGGACTTGATTTATAGACCAGACTTGCCTTGAACTCACAGAGACTCACCTGCCTCTGCCGTCCAAATACTGGGATTAAAGGCATGTGCAACCAACCCCACTGCCCAGCTTTTGACTGTAATTTATTCCTAATAAAACCAAGTATAAGTAGCCAGGTGTGGTGGCACACACCCTTAGTCCTAGCAGTCAGGAGGCAGAGGCAGATGGATCTCTATGGGTTTAAGGCCAGCCTGGTCTAAATGAGTTCTGCATCAGCCGGGGATAAGCAGTAAGACCCATCTAAAAATTTTTAAAAGTGTAAGTATATATTCAAATACATATTTACTGTGTATCAATCATGTGTTGAGCACTGCTTAAAGGCCCTGGAAATAAAACACTTGGAGAGTTAGTAAACCTTCATCTTCATGGAGTTTACATTCCAGTGGTAAACTACACATTGCTTTTAAAAGGCATGCTATGGCAGACATAGGACTTATGGGGAAAGAAACAGTCTATGAAGAGGTGTTGGGGAATCCTTGAAAATATGTTGGTATGAGTAAGAAAATAGCTGATGAACAATGTTAACGTTAGACAAAATGTAAGGTAAAAGAACATTAACAAAGTAAGACAAATGTCTAGAGCATCTCCCTTACTAGCAAGATACAGAGTGACATTGACAGTGTAAGAATTGGTAGGTTCACAGTCATGTGAGTGTATCTCTGCTAAAACTAAAAGGTAGACAGAAAGTTAGTTAAGAATAGAAGAGATGGCTCAGTTAAGAGTACTTGCTGTTATTCTGAGGATCCAAGAAAATTATTCACAGAACTTTAGAAACAAAGGTACTAAGTTTGTAACATGATTTCACTGTTGTCTGTTTGTATTTCTGTATTTGCCTTCAATAAATGCACATATTTAAGGTGATTTTCTTTGCCTCCCTGTAGGTTACTCAGATGAGTCGTCCAGACCTGATTCTCTTTCTGATGAAGTATCTGATGGCTCTCATAGTTGGGATTCCTTCTATATTTTGGGTTGGAAGCAAAAAGACATGCTTTGAATGGGCCAGTTTTTTCCATGGTCGTAGGAAAAAAGAGTAAGTTAATGAGTCCTCACAGTATTAACAGCCCTTGTGTGTGTGTGTGTGTGTGTGTGTGTGTGTGTGTGTGTGTGTGTGTGTGTGTGTGTGTGTTGGGCTTGGAGAAGTAACTGTCAGCAGTGACTAGTAACATTTGGCACAGTAGCTTGACTTTAAAATGAAAAACTAGCTGAACACAGTAGCTTATGCCTGTAATCCTAGTTATTGATTAGGCTGAGGTAGGAGGATTAGAAATTCGAGGCCAGACAGGAAGACTCCATCTTAAAAATTAAATAAATAAATAAATAAATAAACAAACAACGGAAACTCTGACTTTGAGAAGATGGCTGAGTAGAACCATCCAAGTGCTTGCTTGTTCTAATCCTTAATAAGGAAGGAAGGCTAAGCATTGCAGAACATTCAAAGTATAGTGTTCTTGAAATTGCAAACAAGTGGATGCTTTTCCCCTTCATATTTACCTGGCCTTCCTAACTTCCTTGTGAAGGTTGGTGTGTATTCTCATCTCTTTTCAGATGAAAAAACTAAGAATAGCATAAATGTCTGGCCATAGCCACACAGCTGTTCAATATAAGTGGTAACTTCAATTTCAGTTTGAAGTTTTCCATTGCTTACACAGGTCTGTCAAACATATGAAAAGATAGACTATTGTTCCATTCTAATTTAGTGCACATTAAAAGTTTATAACCCTAATTTCTTTCTTTTGTTGAATTCTAGTCTGAAATTATTGAAGGAGTTAATTAAGAGTGATGGTAATAGGTTGCATCATGTTCCTGATTTTAATTAAAAATATTCCTAGTTATCCAGTATGCACACTTTTAATCCTAGCACTCAGGAGGCAGAGGCAGGTGGATCTCTGTGACTTCAAGGCCATCCTGGTCTACCGAATGAGTTCTAGGATGGCCAGAGTTACACAGAGAAACCTTGTCCTGGAAGAAAGAAAATATTTCTAGTGGTTTTTGGTGTTTTCATTAAATAATGATGCTGCTTTTGGAGGTGACATATTTTCTCTTTGTAAGAACTTATTCTCTATTGGTACTCTATTATAGTTTTTTAAAAAGATTTTATTTATTTATTTATTAATATGTATACAATGTTCTGTCTGCACGCCAGAAAAGGGCACCAGATCTCATTTCAGATGGTTGTGAGCCACCATATGGTTGCTGGGAATTGAACTCAGGACCTCTGGAAGAGCAGCCAGTGCTCTTAACCTCTCAGCCATCTCTCCAGCCCTCTATTATAGTTTTAAATATCAAAAATAACGTTAGATGGATTAAAGGAATATATGTAAAGTAGATGTTAAATACCTGTCTTCAGCCTATCAGCCCAGTACTGAAAACAGCAGGGAACTGGACCAACACTGTTAATTTGAGAGCTTACATGTGCTTTCTCAAATGCTTTCTCAATATATGATCAAGTCTTTACATGTTGGGGTTGTTTTTTAAATTAAGTCCTTTAATTTTTAACTTTAGCTGATTCTCGCAGACACTCTACAAGTTGGGTTCTTGTTAATTCAGTTATTGCTTTGTTCATCATCATGCACACATACCTGCTGTACGTCCTTTCATAACAGTTAAAACTTTTACTTTTGATAATTTGTCCTTTGAAATGTGTAGGACTTCATTGAATATTTGCTTAATTTAATTTTTCATATGACTTTGTTCTAAGGTTGACTACTCAGGTTTACTCTAACACAAGACAGCTGTTCCTGACCCAGAGTCAAGATGAAGCCTTAAATGGCCTTTGCAAATTAAAACCGTATCCAGTTATCATCATGAAACCATTGTTACTTCTTCAAAGCATGAAAGAAAGCTTTTTTTTTGTCTTATAATTAATTTTTAAAAGTATTTTGGAACCTAAAGAATCACAGGTGTCTTTAGCTGAAAGGGACCTTTTAGAAAAAATGGACTTATCTGCCTTCATTTCATAGATAAAATAAAGGAAAGACAGGATAGTAACTTGCTGAGATCGCCTATGTGCTCACAAAATTGGAACTACAATCTTGGTTTTCTTACCCTAACACGGTCTCTCTGTCACACCACTTTAGGGCCAATGACATTGGGTTTGTTTTGTTGTTGTGTTTTGACACTAGGTGTTATGTAGTTTAGGCTGGCTTTGCACTTGAAGATAACTTTAAACTTATGATCCTCCTATCACAACATCCCAGATGTTAGGATTATTGGCATCAGGCCTAGTTTTTGACACAGGCTTTTGTTATATTCTGTCCTATGCCAAAAATGTTACCTCAAATTGGTCTCAAAATCTTAATTTCGGGAGCAATTAATTTCAAGACTAGCATCAACCAGTATTGCATAGCAGTATTGTTTGTTGGCCTATAGGAATGTTCATAACGTAAACTTCCTGTTGTATTGTGTAGGATAGTGAATGAGAGCCGGCAGGTGCTCCAGGAACCTGACTTTGCTCAGTCGCTCCTGAGGGACCCAAATACTCCTATTATAAGAAAATCCAGAGGAACTTCCACTCAAGGAACATCCACACATGCTTCTTCAACTCAGTTGGCCATGGTGGATGATCAAAGAAGCAAAGCAGGGAGTGTCCACAGCAAAGTGAGCAGCTACCATGGCAGCCTCCACAGGTCACGTGATGGCAGGTAAGCTCTGCAAGCAATTCACCATATGTATTCAATAAGCTTAGGAGACAGGAGCCAATTCTGAATTAGAAGTGGAACACTATTAAGCTCTTTTTAACTTTCTGGTTATAGTTGTCCCAGATTATGGGGCTTAAAGCCAATCAAAGGACTTGGGGTTTAGCCCTGACATAAAAGTGTATGGCATTATTGTAGTGTACTGAGAGGGTAGAGAAGGTGGACTGGTCAGTTTAGGAAGGTGAATTTTGCCAGGTGGTGGTGCATACCTTTAATCCCAGCAGAGACAGGTGGATCTCTGTGAGTTTGAGGCCAGCCTGGTCTACAAAGCAAGTTCCAGGACAACCAGAGCTGTTACACAGAGAAACCCTGTCTTAAATAACTCCCCAAGAAAATAAATAATGTATATCTGGGGAGCTATAGGGACAGTTTAGCAATTAAAAGTATTTGCTATTCTTCCAGAGGACCTGAGTTCAGTTCCCAGCACCCACATCAGACAGCTCCAAACCATCTGCAACTCTAGCTCCAGAGGACCCGACACCTTCACAGGAACGTGTACTCACATGCACGTACCCACATGCAGGCACACACACACACACACAATTAAAAATAATGAAAGTAAATCTTAAAGAGTATAGATCTAGACAATAAAACTTAGTTTCCTTACCTATAAAGGAGAAATAGTAATAGCCACCCCTTAAGTAATGTCATGAAAACCCAGTGAGATGATGCACCTATTCACTAGAAAAGAGCCTGTTTCAGGGTCAGATATAAGCTTCAGTTATTAATGTAATACGCACATAAAAGTAAAATACAAGCATAAAGCAAATTATATTCCAGGGCTATGGAAGTGTTTTCTTAAGGAGCCAGATAGTAAATGCTTCAGGCTTTTTAGTTAAAGTGGCAACCCCTGCTCAGACCTGCTGTGGCAGTGTGCACTCAGACAAGCTTCATCTCCATGGCCTTAGTTATAACCAGGAGGCAGCAGGTGTGGCATTAAGTCAGTTTGTCAGCCTGCTATTTTGTGGGGTGCTGGGATTTAAACCCAGGATTTGAGCATGTTAGGCAAGGATTTTAACTGCGCTATATCCTAGCACCCAATACCCAGCCCTTGATTATTAGGTGCAATGGAAGCAAGCAGAGAGTAGGAGTCACTCTTTCTGGTACCATGGAGAGCAGTTCAGAAATGCTTCAGAGAAAGAGCTTGAAGGAAGCCTGGGTGTGGGTTTCTCATTAAATTTGAGGTTGGGATACTAGAGCTAGAAACTGCTTAGGAACTGCCACATGAAGTCATTTGAGAGGTAATAGGATTTGTCAGAGAGTAAAGAAGCAGTAGGGAGGGAGGGACAGCTGACCTGAAAGGTATATTTTTCTTTAGGAAAGCAAGCATAAATGTTAGAAGGATGGAGAGGAGATGGGATAAGCATTGTTGGGAAGGTGTAAATTATTCCAGCCACTATGGAAATCAATATGGAGGTCCCTCAGAACCCTAAAAATAGAGCTGCCTAATGACCTACCTATATGACTCTTGAGAAGATACCCAAAGGGATCTAAGTCAGCATAATGTAGAGACACCCCTGCCTTAGTTAGGGTTTTTGTTGCTGTGAAGAGACAACCATGACCACAGCAACTCTTACAAAGGGAAAAAATTTAATTGGGACTGGTTTACAGTTTCAAAGGTTCAATCCATTATCATGACAGGGAGCTTGGTGTCATGCAGGAAGACATGGTGCTGGAGAAGGAGCTGAGAGTGCTACATCTTGCAGGCAACAGGAAATAGACTGTGACACTGAGTGAAGCTTAAGCAAAAGAGGCCTCAAGGTCTGCCCCACAGTGACACTTCCTCCAGCAAAGCCATGCCTTCTTCAGTAAAGCCAGACTTTCCAATAGTGCTACTCCCTGTGAGCTTATGGGAGCCAATACATTCAATCCACCACAGCCCTCTTGCTGTTTTTTCTGTCCCGCCAGGTCCCATGGCTGCTTCAGCCCCAAATAAGCACACAAAGACTTATATTAATTATTAAACTGTTGGCTGACGTCCAGGGCTTCTTATTGGCTAGCTCTGTCTTAATTATTAACCCATTTCTATTAATCTAAGTATTTCCACGTGGTCTTACCTTACCAGAGAAGGCTCTATACCTGTTACTCCTTCCTTTAATACGTGGCAACTCTCCCCAGCATGTCTCTGCCTACCTTTCCCAGAATTCTCCTCGTCTCCTAGCCCTGCCTATCTTCCTGCCTCTATTGGCCAAACAGTGTTTTATTCATCAACAAATAAGATAAACATATACACAGAAGGACATCCCCATCACTCCCCTCTACCTGTGTTTATTGCATTGCTGTTCAGAATATCAAAGTTGTAGAATCAGCTTAGATTTTCATCAACAGATGAACATATAAATAAAATGTAGTACATGTGCACAGTGAGGTTCAGTGAAGTTTTATTTAGTTATAAAGAAGAAACAACATTCTTTTGCAGGAAAATGAGTAGAACTGCAGATCATATTAAGTGGAATAAGCTAGATAGCAAAGACAACTTTTTTCCCTCTTCTATAGAACCTGGAGAGAGAGGGGGAGGAGAGAGAGAGAGAGAGAGAGAGAGAGAGAGAGAGAGAGACAGAGACAGAGACAGAGACAGAGAGACAGACAGAGAGAGACCTCATCATGGACAGTCAGAATCAGCTTCCTAACAGATGACACGTCTACTTTAAATAGAGTACAGAGGAGACACTTGGGAATGAATGAAAGACAAGGGAGCACCTTTTATAGAGGAAAGAACAGGCAGGCAAGTTTTGGTGCCTAGGTATGACCAGAGCATAATGTGTGGAGACTTTTAGGAGATGCAACCAGGATGAGGGTTTGGGTTTCTCTGACGGTGAGAGGCTATTGTAGGACTTTGAGTACTAGGATAATAAAGTCTGACTTGAATTTTAGAACAGCATGAGAAAGGAAAGTATAATGGAGCTGTTGATGTGGGATCTTAATTTAAGATGCTGATAACTCCTTAAGTATAGGCAGTTTCTCTGTGTCCTAGCAGCCACTCCCAAATAATCACACAGAGACTTATTATTAATTGTAAGTGCTCAGTCAATACCTCAGATTTGTTACTAGCTAACTCTTTCATTTTAAATTAACCTGTATTTCTTATCTGCTCTCTGCCACATGGCTTAGTACCTTTTCTCAGTATGGCAAGTGCATCTCCTCGAAATTCTGAGACGGCAGCAGCTGCTGCTGCTGCTGCTTCTCCTTCTTCTCCTTCTTTTGTTTTGTTTGTTTTTGTTTCAAGACAGGGTTTCTCTGTAGCTTTGGAGCATGGCCTAGAACTCGCTCTGTAGACCAGGACCAGGTTGGCCTCGAACTCACAAAGATCCTCCTATCTCTGCCTCCCAAGATCTGGGATTAAAGGCGTGTGATACCACCACCTAGCCAGCCTCTTTATTAGCCCAATTACAGTGACATATATTCACACAGTGTAAAGGAATATTCCACAATAGAGATCCCATGTTTTGGAATATATTTTATCTATGAACTCTTAGTGATGATATTTGACATCCTGGCCTCATCCTTTTCAGTGATGAATAGACATTATTACAGTATTATATTTATATATGACATTCTGTACATAAATATATAGAAAGGAAAGGCTTTTAATTTCTTTTTTTTTTTTTTTTTTTTGGTTTTTGGCTTTTGGCTTTTTGAGACACAGGGCTTCTCTGTATTGCTTTGGAAGTTGTCCTGGAACTTACTCTGTAGACCAGGCTGGCCTTGAACTCACAGAGATCCGCCTGCCTCTGCCTCCCTAAAGGCGTGTGCCACCAACGCCCGGCAAGGTTTTTAATTTCTATATTGTAAGGAGCTAGAGAGATGATTCAGCAGTTAAGAGTATTGGCTGTTCTTCCAGAGGTCCTGAGTTCAATTCCCAACAACCACATGGTGGCTTATAACCATCTATAATGAGATCTGGTGCCCTTTTCTGATATGCAGACATATATGCAGGCAAAACATTGTATATATAATAAATAAAGAAATCTTTGAAAAGTTTCTTAATTTCTATATTCTAGGAGCATAGAGCCTTATAAAAAGGGTATAATATCTACATATGAAGCAAAATGATGTGGAACGGGTCTGTTGAAGGTATCTGGGTGAATGAATATGCACATAAATGAATATGCCCATAGGACTCTCTTTCATACCCAGAACTGTAGGGCAAATGTGAGAGTTTTCAAGACTACATTGAGACTAAAAGTCTAAACAAGAATTTTCATAATCCAAAAAGCCATCTCGTGATGACTTCCTTCTGCTCAGTCAGACTTTAACTGTTTTCAGACTGTCTTATTATCTAACGGCATCCTGGCTTTGGGTCACAAATTCCCAGTACTCACTTTGTTTCACTGCTTGGGTAATTATTGAACTCTGTACTACATACATGTGAATACCACTTCAAAGAATAAGTCACTGGTAGCTAGATGAGAGGATAGCTAGAAAAGTAAGTAGGTAGAAGTTTGGGAATGAGTGACTAGATTGGTACATAGGTGACCTGGCAAGGGAAAGCAGTGGCGTGAATAATCACTACTGAAACTATGGTTAGTTTAATTATTCAGATGAATGGTAGCAAATAGTAAAGAGAATCAAAATGTCAATCATCTCTTTTTCACTGACTCTGGAGTACCCATATTATTTATATATTTTTTTGGTTTCTCGAGACAGGGTTTCTCTGTGGCTTTGGAGGCTGCCCTGGAACTAGCGCTTGTAGACCAGAGTGGTCTCGAACTCACAGAGATCTGCCTATCTCTGCTTCCCGAGTGCTGGGCCATATTATATTTTTAACAACAGCAAAATGACCATATTTTGTCTAGACATCTATTAAAACTATATAAAATCTGTATTTTCATATTGTATGGCATATAATCACATTCTGTACCTTTTGAAAGGTACAGAAATTTGACAATTCCTACATACACAAGCTATATTAAACACTAATTAAACTTGTTTTCTGTATAAGTTCTTATTTATTCTTGGGCAGGATATTTTTATTTTAGAATTCTGTGGATAGTCATGTTTCTCAGACATAATTGTACAATGTAATTTTTCCTATGAAATGTATTCCTTGGCAGGGGGGAAGAGTTAAGCATCAACAGCACAAATGTCAGGCACAAATGGCTTGTAATCTCAACACTAGGCAAACACTATTTTTATTTATGTGTGTGTGTGTGTTTGTGGGGTAGAAGAAGGTGTCAGAAGTCCTGGAATGGAGTTGCAGGCAGTTATGAGCTGTGTGGTGTGGGTGCTGGGAAGCAAGCTCCAGTCCTGAAAGCCCTCCTTTATGTATTTTAAATGACTGAGTGTTCTCTGCTCTCCTCCCTTCCACCCTTTGCCCCCTTTTCCTCTCTTCCCTTTTCTCTCTCCCCTTCCCATTCCTGCTTAAACCCAGGGCCTTGCACATGGTAAGCAAGTACTTTACTATTTCATTTCCCAGACACCCCCTTTGTAGTGTGCGGTGTGTTTTCTTGATTGTGCATGTGTATGTATGTATACATGTGTATATACAATGTGTCAACATTGGATGTCCTTATTCTTTTTGAGAAGAGGTCTCTCACTGAATCTGGAGCTCACTGATTTGGTTAGTCTAGCTACCAGTGAGCTCCAGGAACCTGTGCATCTCTTCCTCACCAGCATTAGGGCACTGTGGAACAGCCATGCCAGCTTTTAAGAGGTTTCTAGACATTGAACTCAGGTCCTCCTGCTTGCACAGTAGACTGCCTGCTGAGCCGTTTCCCTGGCCTGTCCTTTATTTGGAGGTGGTGTCTTGCCACATTGCCCAGGCATACCTCAAACTTGCTAATCCTCCTGCCTTTGTCTCCCAAGTAGGATACCAGATATGCACCACCACACAGGACTCTGTTTTGTTTTGTTTTTAATTGTTTTCCTATTATTACTAGAACATTTGCTTTCTTTATTTGCCATATTTATTTGAAATTGATACATTGGAAGGTAAAAGTTGGCAAGTCATATTTGGAAATTAGGGAATCTATTTAGTTCAAAGAACAATAATCATTATGCAAAGTAATAACTTTAAAATAGATTGTAACAAGTCCATTGTAACATATTTGCATTTGCAATCATTCTAATTATTTCACCAAAACATACAGTTAAAAATGTAAATGTCGGGCTGGAGAGATGGCTAAATGGTTAAGAGGGCTGACCACAGTTCCAGAGGACTCGGGTTCAAGTCCCAGCACCCACATGGCAGTTAACAACTGTCTCTAATTCCAAAATCTGACACCCTCACACAGCATATATTCATGCAAAACACTAATGCAAATGAAATAAAAGTAAATAGATTATTTAAAAAATGTAAATGTCTCTAGGTTCTAAATGTAAAAATTTTTTAAGTGTTTGAAATAGGGTAGGGTCTCTTGTAGCCCAGGTTGGCTTTGAAATTCACTACATAGCCAAAACTGAGTTGAGCCTTCTGCCTCCATCTCCCAGTTCCTGGGATTACAAGTACACCATGCCTGGCTGAAATTTGTACTATTTAATATGAAAAAATTAAAACATTTAAATATACATCTGTCCTGGTTAGTTTTATGTCATCTTGAAACAAGCTAGAGTCATTTGGGAACAGAAACTGTCAGTAGAGAAAATACCTGTGTAAGATTGGAGTACAGGCAAGCCTGTCAGGCATTTTCTTAATTAATAATTACTATGAAAAGCCTAGTCCACTTTTGGTGGCGCCTCCCCAGGCAGGGAGGTGTTGTGTAAGAAAGCAGGCTGAGCAGACAATGAGGGGTGAACCGGGAAGCAGTGTTCTTCCTTGGCCCCTGCACCGGTTCCCGCTCGGGTTCCTGATTTAAGTGCCTGCCCTGATTTTTCTGGATGACGAAACTGTGAGCTGACATAACCCTCTGACCATGGTGTTTTAGCACAGCAATAGAAATCCTAGATAGCATCTTTATTATTTTTTTCTTTATTCAAACTTGAAACAAAGATAAGTTTGGGTTTGGGGACAGGCTGGAGCAGGGTTTCACTATGTAGCCTTGGTTGGCCTCAAATTGGTAGAGATCTTTCTGTCTCTGCCTCCTCTTTGAGTGATAGAACTAAAGGTATTTGCCACTGTGCCTGGTCCCTAAGATAGGTTTTAGAAAGACTTGAAAAAGGACTTCTCAGTTAAACTCTGTAACATAATGAAAAGTCCATTGACAAGCGCTTCTGTAAAACTAGATGGCCACCTCAGCAATGTTCATGAATCTTTCAGATCTTTTAATTTTACAAATGATTCACCTTAAGTCATGGTATTTTTTTATAGTTATGATAAAAGAATGGTAGGTGACTTTTTTTTTTTTTGGTTTTTCGAGACAGGTTTTCTCTATATTATTTTTGGAAGCTATCCTGGAACTCGATCTGTAGACCAGATCGGCCTCAAACTCACAGAGATCCGCCTGCCTCTGCCTCCCAAGTGCAGGGATTAAAGGTGTGCACTACCATCGGCTGGCTAGATGAATGTTTGTTTGTTAAACAGTAGCTCTTCAGTTGCTCATAATGATTTACTTTGATGACTGTTAGAAAGGGAATGAGCTGGGCATGGTGGTACACAACTTTAAAACTAGCTCTTGGGAAACTTTGACAGGAGGATCTCTGTAAATATAAGACCAGCCTAGTCTCCATAGTGAGCTCCAGAACAGTCAGGACTACTTAGAGACCTTGGCTTAAAAAGAGCCAGCTGGTGTTGGTGCAGGCCCTTTAATCCCAGCACTCAGGAGGCAGAGGCAGGCAGAACTCTGTGAGTTTGACACCAGCCTGGTCTGCAGAGCAAAAGTATTTTAGGAAAAAATTCTCAAGGTATTACATATTAAGATATTAAAATATGGTACTTAACCTGAAAGAACTCACTATTTAGCCAGAAAAATTGATAAGTATCATATGAGCTCTATAAATGGATCAATAAAAAACTCTAATTGGTTTTTGTGACCTTGACTGCCTAGACCCAGTGACTGAGATTGGTTTTGTTGTTGTTGTTGTTGTCATTGTTTTTTGTATTTTTATATTCTTGACTCTGAGGTGGTTTATTGAATCAGGGTTTCAACAAAAGAAAATATGATCAACCCACTGTTGCATTTCTGGATAGGAAGACCACCTAGAGTAAGGTGTGTAGCTCAGCTGTGTGCAGAGCCCAGATAGGGTACAAAGATTTGCTGATAAGAGATTTGGTTATAGGGTGTCAGGATACAACTTCCAAGTAGATATAGCATCTACAGATTACCGTCTTCACAGCTTTAAACCCTGAGGAAAAGAATTAAGATAATTTATACATGACTGATTGGCTGTTTGCTAACCCGTCTGGACACCATGGACACAGATGTCATCAGTGCTTAGCAACTCACTCTTTAAGTCACTCTTCATTTCTCTGCTGACTTCATGTATTCCCTCTTCTAACCCTAGTCATTTAGTAGTTGGACTCTGCACTGCTACTGACTATACCTAGTCTTCATCTCTCTGAGCCCACTGTATTTGACACATACTTGAGTAAGAAAAGTATGTGTACTTAACATAGTTTCAAGTAGGTCAGCCTTGCTTGTTTATCATTTGCCCTTTTGCAGAGAGTAGGACCTTCATTCTGAACCTAAGTGGACTCTCTCTTTCTGTTACCCATATCAGATAACTCTACAGCTTAATGGAATTACTCTAAATAATCATGTCAGTTATTGCTTTCTCACTGTTGATTTGTTGAGCACTTCAATCACTAAGGTGTTTTAATGAAAACTACTTAGTGTTACTTTTTGATGTGTTCAGTTACTTCAAGATCCACTCTGTTACGCAGGTACACTCCCTGCAGTTACCGAGGAATGGAGGAGAGACTACCTCATGGCAGCATGTCACGCCTGACGGATCACTCCAGGCACAGTAGTTCTCATCGGCTTAATGAGCAGTCACGACACAGCAGCATCCGAGACCTCAGTAACAACCCCATGACTCACATTACACACGGCACCAGCATGAACCGTGTTATCGAAGAGGATGGGACCAGTGCTTAGTCTTGTCCAAGGTGAAAATGTGTGCTGTTGAAAAGCAGGTTTTAGTCTTTACCTTTGCATGACTGGCTGCTGTAACTCACTGTCATCCTGCTTCCAATCAGACAGAGTGTGCCCACTGAGAAGGTAGATCTGTGCTTTTTGTATCACATCAAACTTGGCGCGTAAACACATCCAAAACACAAAGAATCATGTCATCACAAAAATAATTCTTTCCAGGTTGTGAAGAGATGATTGTCTGGTAAGCATTTTTATAAACCCACTTATTTTATATTTAGAAAAACCCTATATGTGTGGTGACTGCTTTGTAGTGAACTTTCATATCATATGAACTAGTTGTGAAATGATATTCTGGTAGCTCTGTTAATAAAACAAAGTTTCAGAATTAAAGAAAATTTCTATGCAAGGCTTATTTCTCAGATAAATACTAGGACTTTGTAAGTTTATTTCCACTGAGTGAAAAAAAGGAACTGTTTTTAAACTGTAGAAGACTATGATAAGCCAGCAAGGGTATTTAGCTAATAAGATAAAAGTGCCAGAAGAGTCCCGTTGGCCTGTGGGAGGTTCTCTCAAAGTCTGTCAGTCTTCCCCCAGAGATATTCAGGATGTGGATTAGCCCTGGAATAAAGGCAGAAATGAGCATTTCCCCTGTAGTTGTATTGTTTTTCACTTTTGTAAATATTACTTTTATGGGCTATGTTTTTATAATATCCATATGCATGATAGAAAAAAATTAATTTGTGGCCATCTTTTCCCAGGTAATTGTATTGATTCATAGACAACTTCATGTTCAGATATGTTCTGTGGAGGCATGCAGTAAGATAAGCATCACACATTAAAAGGGTTTTTACTGGTAAACAAATTACAAAATGGCAAAATATTTTCTCTGTATTCGTTGTTGTATTTTTCTACAGTGAGATGTGACCTTGCCAAAGCCATCAGACATTGGTATCCAGGCCCTCCTATAGTGAGCTGATTGTCTGCACTCGAATTCCCCAGTAGCCACTTGGCTACTGCTTTTGCCCACATCCCTATTTTCAGTTTCTGAATTACTGTTTACATCTGAGGTATATAGTCTAAGTCCAGAGTGGTGGTTAATTTGGGTTCTTAAAAATCATTATAGCTAAGTGGAGCGTGGTTACTTTCTGTGAATACCTTTTAATCTTAAAAATATCAAAAAACACTTGACGTCTTATCTTATAAAGCTTATATGATTTAGGATATGAAATGTGAACTTTATTGGGTTTGAAATTGATCAGAAAAAATTCTGGAAAATGCTAATGTGCTATTAAGAAAACACAGTGATTCTCAGCCCTAATTGCAAGTAAAACTCACTCTGGGAACTCTTGTTGGCCAACATCTTTCAGGTGAGAGTTGATGCTTTAAAAACAAAAGTGTTCTAGGTGATTATTAGCTAGCCAGGCTGGAAGCCCATTCTTTTAAGTTCACTTTTCCCTAATGATAGGCTGATGGCATCACTTTTGATCACTGGGAAGATCTAGCCAGATTCAATGATGCACTTTGCATTGTTACCTAATATACTTTTGTTTCCTACTTTATTATCCAATTATAAAATGCAGAATCCTCAGCTCTTATCTCTGGAGAGTCGAAGGCAATAGGATTTCACAAATCTGTATTTCTAAAAACACCACAGAAGATTCTTAGCAGGCTATCTAAGAATGACACTCAGAAAAAATATTCTAGACTCTGGATAGGCTTGGCTTCGCCATATGCTAGTTTTCAACTTTGAACAAGTCAGCCTCCTTGAGCCTAGCTCCCCTTGTTTGAAAATGAAGATTGAAGATGAATATCTACTCTACCTACCTCACAAAGTTGTCAAATTTAGATCAGATGACAACAACCATATGGAAGCTCTTTGAAACTGTGAAGCATTGTGAAATATAAAGATTCCTGAGGATTTAAGAGGTTTATTAGAGGTCTACTGTAGTACATTTCTTGACACATGTTTAATTCATGTCCATGCTTCTTTCGCCCTATAAAATGAAGAGCTCCCACATGACAGAAGAGCCAGTTTTCTGGTAGTCATGATTTATTTGTGTCATGTTGCTTCTTCAAAGTATGTATCGGTGGAGATTACCCATTCTTCATAAGACATATTTGGGCATTTGGCCCCAAATGTTTTCTCTTCCTCTGTCCTTTCTTTCTTTCTCCCTGGAACTCGAGTTACCGCTCAGAGAGCCTGAAGTCCCTTATAACTGATAGTAGTTACCCCTTCCTTAAGCCTCACAAGGCTTAAGGCACAACTGATAACTTGTCTATAAATAACCCATTAACTCAGAAAGCTTCTGTTTGAGAAGCTCCATAGAACAGCATGGGCAAACCAAAACAAACATCCACAAACAAAAATAGGAAGTTAAGAGAAATACCAGTTTGAGCTCAAAGATGTTATCATCTATCACCATCTGCATTACTACCGATTGCCAAGTGTTAATTGGTTGTCTTTTAAAGGGGCCAAGTGTAGACAGTGAAGTGAACATTGCTATGAAAGTCTTACCTTTGTGCTTCCAGATTCTGTGTGTGTACCTGCATCTCCTCGAAGCTGCTGCTGTATGTGTGATTGTTGTTGGCCTATCGTCACTTTCAACGAGTACCATCGTTCACTTATTGACACACCCTGCATAATATTGTTTGTTTTATGTAACACTTTTTAGTTTGGGCCATGTTCTTTATCATACTAGTGTTCCAGATTAAGAATCTTTTTTTTTTTTTGAAGAGACCATTGAAGAACTATAACAGAACAGTGATTTCAAATCTTAAGCTGCTTAAATTGACTTGAACAAGTTGGGACAGTTTCTTACCATATGGGTAACTTTCTGTTGTGATTGGCATATGTTAATACTTAGTGTTTTCTTTGTTCAGTTGACAACCAAGAAAATAATAGTTCCCTCAAAAGTATTAATATATTAGCAAACATGGTTTTGAAAAGTACTTTGATTTTAGCAATATTGTTTTATTCATAATTAGGCAAGAGGTCCAAGACAATATTAAGCTCAAAACAGTAATTTGTTTCAGAGGCAGTTGATGAATAACAATTAGCACAGGGCTTAGTGCAGCATAAGCTTTTCAGAAAATGTTTAATGAACAATCAGCTACACAGCACTCAACTTAGACCATGAGAACTATTTATATATGTTTATGAGTGTTTTTAAAATCTGTGTAAAATAAGAATTCTTCGATTTCACACAAAAACACAGGGATAGAAGTTTTCTAGAACCTAAATTTATAAATAACTCATGATTCTTTTAAGCTTCTTTTTTTTTTTTTTTTTTTTTTTTTTTTTGGTTTTTACGAGACAGGGTTTCTCTGTGTTGTTTTGGAGGCTATCGGTCCAGCCCGGCCTCGAACTCACAGAGATCCACCTGCCTCTGCCTCCCGAGTGCTGGGATTAAAGGCATGTGCCACCATCGCCTGGCTCTTTTAAGCTTCTTTTATGCCTTTTTGTAACCAATTAAAATGAGAAAAGCTTGGGGTTAGAGAAATGGTTCCGTGGGTAAGTGTGCTCACTGTTCTTGCAAAGGACCCGAGATCAGTTCCTAGCACCCAGTGCGGCAGCTGTGAGTTGCCTGTAACTCCAGCTCCAGGGCATCTAAGGCTCTTCTATAGCCTCCTTTGACACCAGCACACTGTAGCAGGCATACACGTACACATAAATTCAAAATTCAAAATACTTTTTTTTCAGGACAGGGTTTCTCTGTTTAACAGCCCTGGCCATCCTGAAACTGACTTTGTAGACCAGGCAGGCCTGGAACTCACGGAGATCCGCCTGCCTCTGCCTCTCCAGCTGGGATTAAAGGCGTGGGCCGCTGCCTCACCGCCGCCACCACCACCACCACCACCACCACCCAGCTTAAAGTAAATGTTTTTTAAAATATGAAAACCATGTATTTAATTCAACCATATAACCTAAAATTTATATACTTTTACATAAATTTGATTATTGTCTATGGAAATGCATTGGCATTTGTGCATCTCTTCATAGTCTTTCTTCTCTTTCATGATTTGTTGTTTGGCTCATGTGAGTAATGGGAAAAACCTTAGGAACACTAGACATTCTTCACTGTTCACCAGACTGTAATTGCTTTCTCTGAATATTCTAATCCTGTGTATCTTTAATAACTAAACTGATACAGGGTGATGCTTTCCTTTCAATATTTAAATCTTCTGGGAAAAAAATGTTAAAAGTCTGCCCAAAGCCTACCATCTTAATAGACAGTGTTCTATTATTCTCCTCATTACCACTATTTAAGGTTTTTTTTTCAAGCTTGTTAAATTTCCTGAAGCAGAAAAAATAAGCAAGCTTGCTCATATTTGCAAACTTGTAGATGTTTCTTTGTTTTATGCTAACTGGTTTTTTTTTTTAAGTTTAGAACTCAGTGCTTTTGTTTTGGCCAGATTTTATTTAATAACTAGTAAGAATGCATTGTGTTATTTTAAAAACATCCTAGTACTTTGAGTCAGGAAAGCTGATATCTAGTCTTGCCTCCCTTTTCAATGAGCTGTGTAACTTCAGACACAGCATTTTTGTGTGCAGTTGAAGGGAACGTAGAGTTTAGATGAGGAGTCTCATATTCCACTAGACTCTAATTTGCCTCTCCCTTGGCCATTTGGTAGTCACTGCTGTAAGCTCACTTGCATCTCTTCCCATAAATTCTGTTTACTTGATCAGTTTACATAGCTAAGGCAACTTGAACCTAAGTTGACAGATATGAGAGATGTTCCTAGTTTTTGTTTGGTTCTGTTGTTACAGTGTGAGGATTTAGACTTCAGGACCCCCAATGCTGGAAAAGTGTTCTTCCACTGAGCTAGTTCCATTCCCCTCGACAAAACACCTCAGACTCATATGCAAGTCTTAGGTGTATATCCCAGGCTGGCTTTGAACTTGTGGTTTTCCCACCTCTGCCAGCCAAGTCCTGGGATTTCAAGTGTGCCACCATGCCCCAGCTTAAGTGATTTTTAAAAGAGGAAAATTGTATTACATTTAATAAAAGAGACAGAAGTTATAAATACCAGACATGGACTTTTTAATTAAAAAAACTTTTTCCACATAAACATATTACATTGGTAAACATAAAAGAAATGGCATGCTGTTTTGTGGTCTTTGTTTTCTTAGTTATGAGTATAGGTATTTAGTTAAGACCTCTTGCCAGATGCATCCTGTACAGCTGTAGTATAGTTCATTGAGAGTGTACCTCCTAGCATGTGTTCAAAATAAAGTTAGGGACAGATCAGTTACTGCACTGGCTCCTTTGCTAATCAGAAGACTGTCAGGTTTAACCAAAATTCAAATGATTATAAAAATCTATTGTTGTTGTTTGTTTGTTTTTAAGGCAGGATTTCTCTGAGTAGCCCTTTCTCTCTTTGTAGACCACACTGGTCTCAAACTCAGAAACCTACCAGCCTCTATCTCCTGAGTGCTGGAATTAAAGGCATGTACCATCACTACTACCCTACTTGATTATAAATAGAATTTTTCCATTTAATCATTACTTTTTAACTGCCTCCTTGAATTCACTGAATAGGTGTAGCTGTCAGCTTGCCACAGAAAAGTGATAGCCTGATTTACAATATTAGCAGGATTGGGATTTAGCTCAGCAATAGGCAGGACCCTGGGTTCACTCCCAGCCTTGAAAACAAAACACACAATATATTGTTAGAGATAAATGTGGTTTGTTATTATTAATTTGTCCTGGCTTTGCAGAAAATATTACCATAAAGATTCCTTGATTATCTATCAGGGTCAGTGAGATGACTCAGCAGATACAGGCACTTGCTGCCATTGAGTTCCATCCAAGGTCTGTGTGGTGGAAAGAGAGAATAGACTCCCATAAGTTGCCCTCTGACCTCAGAATGTGGACTG